ATAGTAATGCCTTAATAAAATTAATTAAAGAAAAAGCTAAGTATCACACTTACTGGAAAAAATATGGGAACCCAAATGATTACAAATCATTTTCTATACTGCGTTCGCGATTAAAAAAAACTTGAAAGGGAAAGTTATTCGTCTTATATAACTTTTTCACAAGAAAAAATTAAAACTACACCAAAATTGTTATGGGCTTATATAAAATCCAAGAGGAAAAATAAATCAGCTTATCCTCACATAATGCAATATAATAATAATCAATTGTCAAATAAAAATGATATTTTCAATGCTTTCAATGAATTTTTTAGTTGTAATTTTAGTCAACCGGCATCACATTATGGAAACTTTATACATAACAATTTCCTTGGCAATGATGTTATTAGTGATATATATCTTTCTGTCACAGACATAAAAAATCTTCTTGATAATCTCGATTGTTCTAAAGGCGCTGGATGTGATGAAATCCCTCCATATTTCTTTGTGAAGTGTGCAGAATCGCTAGCGGCTCCTATAACATTAATTTTTAATCGGTATTATGCTGAGGGTTATTTTCCCAAGATTTGGAAAACTGCTAATGTCGTTCCGGTCCATAAAAAAGGAATCAAAACAGCCATCAAAAATTACAGAACTATATCTATTCTTAATGTGTTGAGTAAACTGATGGAGAGAGTTGCACATAATATGCATTTGTATCTCTTGATTGTTCGTTTTCCACCGCATTCCTCCGCATTCATTCCTCCGAAACAGCATGGATTCGTTCGTGATCGCCCAATCAATTTTTTCCAATGATGTTCTTCGAGGTATGGATGATGGTTTTCAGATCGATGCCATTTATACAGATTTCGAGAAGGCTTTTGATCGCGTGGATCACATTATAATTTTGCGTAAACTCCAGGAGCTAGGCATTCATGGAAATCTGCTTAGGTGTATAAAGTCCTATCTCCGTAACCGATCTCATCGACATCGCTCTGATTTCGTGGAAGTCCTATCTGGAGTCCCACAAGGCTCGATATTGGGATCGTTACTGTATGCATCATACTTGTATGATATAGGAGACTTCTTTAAATTTTCCAAGTTCCTCATGTATGCAGATGACACTAAAATTTACGCATATATTAAGTCTGAGGGAGATGCACACCAACTTCAAAAATACTTGAACCAGCTTTGTTGTTACTATCATGATAACCGTATTAGTGTTAATATTTCAAAATGTTATAAAATTAGCTTCACCCGTAAAAGGCATCAAATTAAATACCAATATAAATTAGATAACATACCTTTGGAACGCATCTACTAAAACAAAGGTCTGGGTGTTGTTTTTGATTCCGAAATGCTCATGTCTGATCATGTTACGACAATGGTTGCAAAAGCGTATAAAAACTTAGGATTTGTTTTATTAGTGTGCCGTCCATTCTCAGATTCTGAATGTATTAAAGTTCTGTATTATTCTTACCTACGAAGTGTTTTGGAGTATTGTTGTAATGTCTGGAATCCAAATTACTTGTCTTACATAGAGAATATAGAGCAAATACAATGTAAATTTATTAAGGCATAAATTATCGCACACAACTTAAAGAAATCAGCTACAAGGGATCTTGCGAACATCATAACTTATTACCGTTAAAGGACCGATGTACACTTCTACAAATTTTGGTTCTGCACGACGTCTGTAGTAATAAAATTAATAGTCCTAAATTGACATTTCAATTCCTACAACTCAACACTCCTTCGAAACGTACCAGACACACATCTCTATTTCATGTTCCGTTAAGTCGCACAAAATATGCTCAAAACTCTGTGATTAGTCGTACTCTTAACTGCTATAACAAAAGCTTTTCATCTATTGATATTATTCACGACAGTAAAGCTTCCATAAAAAAAAGAAATAATCTCAATTCTAAGAAATAAATAGTAATAAATAATAATAATAATAAAACATCACACACAAATCACAAACATGCCACACCTCTTCACATCCTTACACTACTTACACACTACACACTTACATCCCTACACTACTTGCACTTCACTACTTACATTTAAAAATTACACACACACACACACACATACACTTAACCTTATATTTACTAAATCAAAATACTACTAGATATACACATATGCACTGTGTTTTGTAAAATGCGTACCTTAAAATACCCATAAATATCTTCAAATATATTGGTAATTGTCAAATGTTATTTCTATATTATATTCACACAGTTGTAGCGATATGTTATAAGATTATTTTTATATGAAGTAAGAACCTGTAATTGGCAGTAAAAAATGTAAATATTTACTAACTTTATAATGTTACTAAATGCTGTTGGTTCTGTTGACAATAAACTAAAAAAAAGAAGTTATAAGGTAAACGAATTTAACTATTTTTATTTCGAAACTACATGGGTGCAGTTAAATAATTAATGTTTTGAGATGTGCTATCTAAAATACGTCTGCCAGTATTTTATATATATATATATATATATACTCTAAATTCATAGGCTGGGATGGGTGGGGGGTCTCCATGTATGGTACTTCATAAGCTTCAATCAGTTGTTGTTCTTTATGTCACCAACTTTTCATTAAAGCAAGCAAAGCTTTTATACAATACAGATTAATTCTTTAATATTTGTTCACAAAATTCTTCATCATATGCTGATGTATCTCATTCCAATTTTTTTTTTGTAGTACAGTTAATGACGGTCATACGTAAAAGCCCCTAAGCGAATAAAAAAAACTTGATATTTATTTCACTATTGAAGTTTAAATCACTTGTTATAACGTTCCGATTAATAGTTCAAATTAATTATTATTATATATCTTTACACGTGCTAGAGCCATGCTGCAGCTATATTAGTAGCATAGTTGTAGCACGAATGGGTCGGCTCGACCGGGGACCACGACCAAGGACCACGCTCTCACGGAATACCAGCGTAAAATAGCAGCTTAACTCTGCTGTGTTTCTTATGGTGAGTGTACAGAACCGGAGATCCTTTTTACTGGAAAAGAGGCATCCTATCTTAGGCGTCATGGGTGACAACGCATCTGAATTTTGATTTGCAATCGAGGATAAATGTAGATCTCTATGGGCCACAGCAACTACTAACCATCAGGTGGACTGTGCTCGTTTGTCACTCTACCCTATAAAAAAAATAAAAAAAAATATCTGCGCAAAGCAACCCAAACCACTGTTACGCAAAATCGCACCACTTTTACGTATCAAAATCCACTTCAAATCTTTATTAGTGCAGTGCAGTTCAGCAGTCTACATCTACACTATATATTATATATACTATTATAAAGAGGAAAGATTTGTTTGTTTGTTTGTTTGAATTGAATAGGCTCCGAAACTACTGAACTGATTTGAAAAATTCTTTCACCATTAGAATCCTACATTATCCCTGATGAACATAGGCTATATAATATTTTCAAAAAGTTAGGGATCCGTATGAAAACTTCGTTAATGTAACGCAAGGTGTGAAAAAAATACCAAAAAGAATCCTTATATCGCGTACGCTGCGGAAAATATGATAATAGGGCAAAGTGTACTTCAGTTTTATAGAAGATATCAATATCTACAAAAAAGTCTGCGATACCATATGTTTAACTATTACAGTTGTCACAATAACTACTTTATCATGTTAAAATGTGAAATAGTAACGCCGGTACAAACTAGGCCACATTATTCGTATCAGTACCTGTATCATGCATAACCACCAATTACGTTAACCATGTAATTTTAGTAACATATTTCACTTTTTAAATCTTTGTTAATTCAGCAACCGTCCGTCGTGATGTCTCTCTCGAAGGCGCAGACGCGTGATATACGCGGGTGAAACCGCGGAGCACAGCTAGTTTGATATAAAAAACAGTTAATTGTGATTTTTGATATGTGAAAATCTTGGTAAGGTGAAAACTATTACGAAAAGCGATGTAAGGATTGCATCTATGGTGATATAGATGGTCGAGTTTTTATCCGTTTAGGTGCCTCGAGATACTATTTTTTTTAAAATAAGACTATTTAGTTATTGTTCTGAGAATACTATTCTATCACTGCGATCACAGCGTATTTCGCATATATGTAGAATCTGTTATCCGATATGGACTTTTAATGTGGGGTAATGGCACGGACTATCAAAAAGTATTTTTAGCTCAAAAGCGCTGTATTAGAGCTATAAGTAACATCCCGTTGGACACATCATGCAAGCCTTATTTTAAGAGCTTATACATAGGTACTTCCTTTTTTCTGCCTCTATATGTATATTTGAGGTTGGAAAATAATTTGTAATGCAAAACAAGCACATGTTTTTACAAGTTAAAAATGTTACAAAAATTAACTTACTGAACCCAGATAAACTAGTACTTGACACAATTCTAAAAAGTAAGCGCTTTCAAAAAAATGCAATGTCAACATTATTTATAGCAAAATACCCTCACATATTAAGCAATATAATATAATAGAATAGAATAGAATAGAATAATTTTTTATTCAATATCGATTATTACATAATTCTTATTGAAAGTCATTTTTTATCTACCACTGGTTCGGAAAATACCTCTGTCCTGGGAAGAACCAGCAAGAAACCCAGCGGGACTTTTTTTTCAAACATAATTTCGTTTATACAATTTTTAAATAATTTTTCATAGAACCAGCATGCAAGCATACCATACAACAAGTTTAAAATGTCATTACGACGATGGCTGGTAGATAAAAACATTTGACATAATAAATGAGTTTTTAAGTGGGTTAAGCCATAGATAAATAAATATGTAGCAAGCTATTATCAAAATCTCCCACAAACTTCACAATGATGAATTAGCTTAATTTTAAAGTATTTTCTAAACAAAATAAACGTCAAACTAGGCTGTATGGTGTAAGTGCTTTGCCTGCCTTAAGCCGTAAACTGTAATTGGCGAATTTTAACAACAACAACAATCTCCGAATAAAAATAAAAACGTAAATGTAATTAAAACTCACTTAGAGTCATTCAGTAAAATCCGTAATGGAAAATATGTCAGGGGCAAAAGTGGATGTGATTTGGTCACCTGTGCACCATGATAAGTTTATTATATGGGGGCCTGATATAACCTTATATGAAGTTGCTAGACTTAAAGAAATAGAAAAAAAGACTTCATGTACGTATTAAAGCTTATATTGATTTAGCAATACTTCAAGTTTTTAAAATTTTAAGTTTAGCTTAAAATTTCACATAAAAGATAATTTAATGGCTAGGCTATGATGAATAAACTTTACCTTTATTTTTAATATAAATTTACTTTCAGTCACTCAAATATCCTCTACAAGAGGTGCTATAGTAGTTGCATCTCAAAGTGCAAGTGGAGTATGTTGTGTGGATATAAGTGCTATAGTCGATCAACCAGATCCCCTACTAGCACTGGGACATGCCACTGGCAAAGTTACTTTAACAAGCCTTAAGCAGACATATGACCCGCTAGGCTTAGTTGGAAGGGAGTTTGGTAAGTATGTTTTTCATTATTATGACATTACTATACAATAGGATTTTCTCCTTTATCATGGAGGCACACAGACACAAACCTAAAACCATTATTTTTAGGCCACACACATGTTTGTTCCCATGCAGAATTTGAACCTCTGTCCCTGTAGGGAAATGCTTACCTAGTGTGTTACAGTCACTAAATTACAATTTTGGAAAGAATTTTAAAAATTGTAAGCATGTGGAGAGGGATGAAAAGAGGATAACTAATGTGGTAGAGGCATGATGCAGCTATATTATGGTGGTAGCAAGAATAGGTCGGCTCAATGGGCAAGGACCATGATCTCACAGAATACCAGCATGAAATAGCAGGTCAATGCTGCAGTGTTTTGTAAGGTGAACATAGAGAGCCAGAGACCCTTTTTACTGGAAATGAGGCATTCAAATTTTAGCCCTCAGAGATGGCAATGCATCTGCATTTTGATTCTTAAACAAGGATAGATGTAGATGTCTATGGGCCTCAGCATCAACTTACCATCAGGTGGATTGTGTGCTCATTGTCACCCATTATTCTATAAAAAAACAGGGGGAGGATGAGAGGGATAGCCCTGCAGGGGCATAAAATTGTGGAAGGAGAAGGAAAAAGGAAGGTGGCGCAATAACATTTAAGAATTACCAACCACTAACCACTGGTAGCTAAGTAGCTAGATACTTTCATGTTTATTTGGCAAACACCATACTTTTTAAAACATTCATATGTAAATTTGAGTTATTTAAATTTGGGAAATGAAACATTTTGTCATTTGATTTTTTTCACTGCGTTCAGCTGTTTTTTTTGGAGCAATATTAGTGTATATTTGTGGTTTCCAAGAAATTCTATCTCAAAAACAGTGGGTTTCTACCATATAAATATGATCCCAATATTCAGAATTGCTGCTTCTAAACCTGGGAATAAATTTTGTATTTAGAAATCCCGTTTACTAATCTATCATTATCCCCAGTATATTGGCCCGGTAATGCTTAAGGGCCCTGAGGTGTTAAAAAGCTTTTTTATGTGATGTGGATAGTGGGAAAAGGGAGGTGGTGTTTGACATTTGCAGTCACTAAGGGCCTTTACATGTCTTAATCTGAATCTGTGTATATAGATAGTTATCTGCCTCTCATTCTTAATTCTATGAGAAAATTGTTTTTACTTATTGCCAGGGGTTAAGTATGCTCGTCCGTGCAATGGTGTGGCTTGGAACCACAATGAGAACAACCTCCTTGCGGTTGCCTTGGATAAACACCGTAGTGACAACTGTATACAGGTGTGGGATGTGCATCATTCATCATTATCTACTGAAGATTATCCAGGTATTGTAAAATTGGAGAATATTCTGATAATATAATCCAGTTCCAAGACAGCAAATTAATGAATATGTTTGTCCACTAATGTTAGTTAAAAAAAGTTAATAAGTTTTATATTTAAAAATGTTATTCAGTTAAGGCACAGAGCCATTCTGCAGCTACATACAGCTGTGGCACAAATGGGCCAGCTTGACGGGGATAGGACTAAGCACTCATAGAATAACAGCATGAAACAGCGGAATAATACTGCTGTTTCGTATGGTGCGTGTAGGAACTAGAGATACTACTGGTAACAAGGCATTTCACCTTAGTCCTAGGGTTGACAATGTGTCTGTGTTTTGATTCAAAATCGAAGATAGATATAAATCTCTATGGGGTAAAGTATCCACTTACCATCAGGTGAACTGTGTATAATCACCTTTATTCTATGAAAAGTTAACTTTATTGTTAAAGGTGCTCTCAATTTACTAAGCGAGGTTTTTCTAAATCAAACACATGAAAATTCTGAATCAATTTCGGTTGCTAAAGTAGCTTAATATTATATTTTGTGCTATAAAATGCATTAATTACTACATTAGCCAGAATTCTTGAATTTTTATTTCAGACAATGCATCTCCACCTCCGTCGGAGCCAGGTCGGCCTATTGCTGAGCTAGCAATATCAGAAACGGCACACAGCATTGCCTGGACTAACCTCGGCAGTCGAGTTTTGGCTGCATCTATGAACTTGAAGAATATAAAAATTTTCGATCTCAGAGGTGAAGAATTTTGATTTTTAACTGACTGTTTAATACTTTTATCCTGTAGTGTTCTATAAATTCATTTAGGATGTAATTGTGATTTCTAGTTTTTTTTTTAAATATCGCTCAGTAGAAATTTCGCCTGTATTGTGGTAATATTTTACATAAATTATGCATTTTTTTGTTCATAGAATAAAGGTGACAAGCGGTCACGCAGTCCACCTGATGTTAAGTGGTTGCTGTGGCCCAGAGACATCTACATATATTCTCGTTTGCGAATCAAAATGCAGATGAGTTGTCAGTCGTGTGGACTAGATGAAATTCCTCTTTTCGAGTAAAAAGGGTCTCTGGTTTTCTACACTCACATTCAGCTGCTATTTTACGTTGGTATTCTGTACGAGCGTGGTCTTTCCCCGATCGAGCCGACCCATTCTTGCTACAACTATACAATTAACATAGCTGCAGCATGGCGCTACCGTGTAAAACGGTAAAAAGGGATTGTTTCACGTCAAAAGAACTTACAGCCCACATGATGACAAGTGGTTACTGCAACCCACAGACACCTGCTGCCATAAATAGGCATACCATCTGTACAGCTGCACACTTTCAAAAATCTTCACCAATACTAAATGTGTTCATTAGAAATGAAACTCCAAACATATGGTGGAACCTTATGCATGTATTAGCTGAAGAATTCAAAAATCTTAAACCTACTTATTGGTCCGGCAGGACACTACATCATGATTTAAGTTTACATTATAAATTTATCGGAGACACCTAGTATTCAATTAATGATACTGATCATAAAAAAACAACACAGACAATTAGATGACAATTGTAACTAGAAGACAGCAGTATCTAGGAAACAATGACTTAAGCTATTATTATTCAAATGCATAGCATCTTTATTTTAAATTAGTATAGTATCATCTGTATTGTACACCTTCGTAGTCTTCAGGGGTGACAATGCATCTGCATTTTGATTCTTAATAGAGGATAGATGTAGACGTCTATGGACCACAGCATCCATTTACCATCAGGCGGGCGGTGTGTTCGCTTGCCCTAATTCTATAAACAAAATCCGAGGAGCACAGTAAAAAAAATAAACTTCCGCGCCATGTAATTTGTCAAATACATTACCTCGTTCTTAAGTTAAAAAGTAGCTTTCATTCATCTTATTTTTTCTGTCGGGCAGAGCATACAGGCAAAGCGATGGGCGTGGCAACGAGCCGACAGTGCCTGGGCGTGTGCGCGGAGCCCAGCGGCTGGCAGCTGGCGTCGCGCGGCGACGGCGGCGTGTGCGTGTGGGACGCGCGCGCCCTCGCCCGCCCGCTGCTGGGCCTGCCCGCCGCGCGCCCGCCCCGCAAGATACAGTGGTGCCCCACCAGGTGACCCCCGCCCCGCTATATACAGTGGTGCCTCACCAGGTGACCCCACACCCTACAATATAGTGGTGCCCCACCAGGTGACCCCCGCGCCGCTACATACAGTCGTGCACCACCAGGTGACCCCCGCCCCGCTACATACAGTCGTGACTCCCACTCCCCGCAATATACAGTGGTGCCCCACCAGGTGACCCCGCCCCGTTACATACAGTGGTGCCTCACCAGGTGACCCCCGCCCCGCTATATACAGTGGTGCCCCACCAGATGACCTCGCCCCGTTACATACAGTGGTGCCCCACTAGGAGACCCCGCCCCGTTACATACAGTGGTGCCCCACCAGGTGACCCCCACACCCCGCAATATACAGTGGTGCCCCAACAGGTGACTCCTGCCCCGATACATACCGTTGTGCCTAACCAGGTGACCCCTGCCCCAGCTTCGTACAGTGGTGCCCCACCAGGTAACTCCCGCCCCCGCTACATACAGTCGTGCCCACCAGGTGACCCCTACACCTCTGCAATATGCAGTGGTGCCCCAGCAGGTGACCCCCGCCCCGCTACATACAGTGGTGCCCCACTAGGTGACCCCCGCCCCGCTACATACAGTGGTGCCCCACCAGGTGACCCCCAATCCCCACAATATACAGTGGTGCCCTACCAGGCGACCCCGCTCCGCTACATACGGTCGTGACTCACACACCGCAATATACAGTGGTGCCCCACCACGTGACCCCCGCCCCGCTACATACGGTTGTGACTCCCACACCGCAATATACAGTGGTGCCCCACCATGTGACCCCCGCCCCGCTACATACAGTCGTGACTCGCACTCCCCGCAATATACAGTGGTGCCCCACCAGGTGATCCCCAAACCCGCTATATGCAGTGGTGTCCCACCAGGTGACACCGCCCCGTTACATACAGTGGTGCCCCACCAAGTGACCCCCACACCCCGCAATATACTGCGGTGCCCCACCAGGTGACACCCGCCCCGCCTCATACAGTGGTGCCTTACCATGTGACCCCCGCCCCCGCTTCGTACAGTGGTGCCCCACCAGGTAACTCCCGCCTCCGCTACATACAGTCGTGCCCACCAGGTGACCCCCACACCTCTGGAATATGCAGTGGTGCCCCAGCAGGTGACCCCCGCCCCGCTACATACAGTGGTGCCCCACCAGGTGACCCCCGCCCCGCTACATACAGTGGTGCCCCACCAGGTGACCCCCAATCCCCGCTACACACAGTGGTTCCCCACCAGGTGATCCCCGCCCCCCGCTACATACAGAGGTGCCCCACCAGGTGACCCTGCTGCCCGCTACATACAAAGATACCCCACCAGGTGATCCACACTGGATTCTTCTACGCGGCCACTATACAGGGTCATTTTTAATTTACTGAAGACCTTTTGGGAATATATTGGTTGCATCATTACAAACAATTTTAGTGAAATCTGGGTGCACGGCAGTGCCCCCGCCAAGGCGAGTCAGTCTTTACAGAATATAATAAATTTACAAAAAAAACTACTGTTAAGTTTTTATTGTCACGTCTGACTCCTTTTAAGTCTGTATTTTGTAGTACCTAAACAATTTCAGAATAAATCGTCAATGAAAATGCCTTTCTTAAATTACACTTGATATCAGTATCACACATCGTGTTGAAATCATTAAAAATAATTAAAATAGTAAATCACAAATATTAAAATTTATAATAGGTAATTCTAAAGTATGATCTCTGCGACGCTAATTTTCGACGTTCGCAATATTAATCTCACAACGGAAGAACATGCGTCGCGGGTGCATCAAAGGCGACTAACGACTGTAACGACACAGGTAATTAGGTCAAGTTCAAATGAGTAAGCGTCGCCTCTTATACCCCTCCACCCCTTCTCTGCCACGCGCTTTCAGCAAAAGCTCATACTCGGACTATTACCGTTTAGAATGTCCAATTAAATTATTATTATTATTTTTGTATGAAAATAAAATTTGAATAAATATACATTTTTTTTCTTACAGATGTTATGATGTAAATAACATTTTCCCAAAAGGTCTTCAGTAAATTAAAAATTACCCTGTATAGTAAGCGGATCAACAGCATAAACACAAAAATAATAATAATTAACATATTAAATATAATAATAATAATTCTTTATTTAAGATATCAATAATCCATAAGTTGTTAGTATGACTTATATTAGGTTAGTAACTGAGAACATCAAATTAAACCAAATAAAATTAAAGTAAATCAAAACTAAAATCAAATCTATACCCAAAATTAAATCACAATAAAATCAAAAATAAAATAATATACAAATAATAGTAATGTCAAAATTAAATTAAATTAAGTTAAATGTAATCAAACAAAAAATCAAATAAAATCAATCGAAATCAAATAATGTCTTAATTAGATTAGATTATATACAATTAAAGCTTTGGAATCGACAGTATATTTTTGTTGCCTTTACAGATATACACAACACTCGCAATTAATCATTTATGCGGTGCTAGGTTGTAAAATTTAAGTTACATCAATTTTGTTTTAGTAACAAAACTATTGTGTCTTTAGCCGTGGAAAGAAAAGCGGAGGTCTCCCGCCAGGCAAAATGTTCAGCCCGGGGTGCGGCCAAAGCTCTCTGTGTTAGTTCGGAGCGGTTATATATAGCGCAGTACTTCCGAACTTAGATAGTGTGAAATGTATGATAGACTTCGCCACATGTCCATTAAATATTTAAAAAATCCACAGAATCCATGTTGCGTGAAATGGTGATGGTAAATTATAATCTTTGCCTTTGATCTTTATATTACAGACGAAACCTTTTACTGTCGCTGCAGCGTGACTCCAGCACTTTACGCCTGCACGACATCCAGCAAGCACAGGAGTACAAAGCTACTCAATCTTTCGATAGTTCTGTAAGTCTTTCTTTTACACTTAAATGCTATTTCTAAAAGAATGGTTAAAATGTTCAATTTTACAGTATGAGTGTTCTGTGCCTTTGACACCACAACAATTTTACAACACTCATAATTTTGGCTCATTCTTAGCCCAAATAATCATGACCTTTGTTCAGTTTTCGTAACAAAACTTTTCATGCATTTACCCTGTTTTTAAAATTGTGGATAAGTGTTCTTGCATTAATTCTCGTATTAAAATGAAAAATTATTATCAAAATAATTTTAGTATATTTCAATTATGCCAAAATTATTTTGAAATAGCAATTTTGGTGGGCATAGTAAATTTTCGTAATAAAGTATAACACTTGTAAATTTAAAATAAGATTGCTGCTTCTTGGCGTTAATAAAAAAAATTACTTGAAAATATTACCCAATATGACGAAATCTATCCCTTCAACATCCTACATCCTTCCCAAAGATCAAAAGGAAGTTAAACAAGATTCCCAACCAAAACTTCACAAATAGTGAGTATACATACATATACTCAATACCCTTTTACAGTATTTTACAGTGGTTTTCCTGTCGCACGGATGGGCCGGCTCGAACCGGGGTGGTACCACGACCTCACAGAATACCAGCGTAAAGTAGATGTTTACCTCTGCGTTGCGCTTGGTGAGTGCAGGTGGCCGGAGGCCAAATTCCCCCCCCCCCCCCCCCCATCAACATGGTAGCGGAATTAAATAAAAAGACCCTGGAGTCCCAGCGCCTCTGGAGAATCCCTCGCTATGCATCCACGACCAAACTACTCTACTCCTGAGCCTGGGTGCTCAGACTGTGCCCCGCGTTTTCTGAGGGGGGGGGGCAAAATTCCGCTCGTGACTAATACTGCTCGGGGCAAGCGGAGCAATAAAACCAAAACGACCCCTGTCACGCTATCTGTGAATTTTTGCAACTTCAGGGGACTTTATTCCAACCTTAACCCTGTCCATTACCATCTAGAGACGGCGAAGCCGGACTTGCTCTTTTTTAAACGAGACTCAGGTGTCCTCTCCGGCTGATACTTCATATCTTTCCTACCCGGGGTACAAATTAGAACACTTCTTTGTGCCCCGGGCTGGAGATTGCGTATACCTCAGAGAGGACATATGTTTTCGAGGCCTTGGCAGTCTTGAAGATACGCTGCGTGTAGACAGCGACGACCATCCCCGCGTCTACGGGTGCCTCTATAGGTCCAATGACGGTAATGCCGACACAGACCGACTCATTGACCACGTCCAAATGGCTGCAGACTCCGTGCTACAACAGGTCCCATCCGCAGAGATCGTGATACTCAGTTATTTTAACGCCCACCACGCTGAATGGCTTGGTTCTCGTTTAACCGATCATGTGGGTAGATCTGTCTGTGACTTTGCCTTGGCATATGGTCTTACACAACTGGTTACTTCGCCTACGCGGATCCCAGATGTGAAGGATACAGAAACAGAAACAGAAACTTTTTTATTCAATATAGATTATAAATAATACTTATTGAAAGTCACTCCACTGGTTCGGAAAAAACCTCTGTCCTGGGAAGAACCAGCAAGAAACCCAGCGGGACTTTTTTTTTTAAATAACAGCTTACAATCATGATGTTACACAAATTAACAACACAACAAATTAGAAATAGCTTGGTAGCGATCACCTCATTTGCATGGGTTATTATCATCCATAAATTCCTTAATATTATAATAACCCTTATTATACAAACTTAGTTTAATAAAGTTTTTGAACTTTGAGCTAGTCAAACTTTGTATATTTTCTGGAATTTTGTTGTAAAAGCGTATACATCGCCCCAAGAATGAATTACTGACTCGATGGAGTCGAGTAACTGGTACTACTAGCTTGTGTCTGTTCCTAGTATTACAGAATGAATATCACTTATTTTTGTAAAACTACTTGTTCAAAGTTAATATATTAATTTCCTTAAATTTTTGTCGCAGCGACTCTTTAGGCTTTAAATCATAAATTGCTCTTATGGCCCTCTTCTGTAAAAGAAATATAATTTCAGTGTCAGCTGCGTGTCCCCATAGCAAAATACCATACGACATTATGCTATGGAAATAGCTAAAGTAAACTAGTCTAGCTGTTTCAACACTGGTTAGACTTCTAATATTTTTTACAGCATATGCTGCAGAACTAAGTCTGCTTGCTAGTTTTGATATATGGGGGCTTCATTGAAGCTTCGCGTCTAGTGTGATTTCAAAAAAAAATGGTGGTATCTACAAGACTCAGTTTCTCCCCATTTAAAATTACATTTGTATTTAATTGTTTGACATTTGGAGTCACGAATTTCATACATTTCGTTTTAGTGCCATTTAAATGCAAATTATTAACATTGAACCAATTTACTAATTTAGATATAGCATTATTTACTCCGTCATATTTTAGTAATTGTCGTCTTAATTTGAAAATTAAAGAAGTGTCATCTGCAAATAATACTATATCATGGTTATCCCCTACTATGTAAGGTAAGTCATTAATGTAATCAAGAAACAGAAAGGGGCCGAGAATTGAGCCTTGAGGCACGCCCATTTGTACCATCGATCCGGAAGAGCTCATATTGTTAATGACATCTTTTTGCGTTCTCTTACTTAAATATGAAATAATTGATTTAAGAGCATCACTTCTTACACCGTAGTGTTTAAGTTTTCTGATTAATGTTTCATGGTGAACACAATCGAAGGCCTTGGATAGGTCACAAAATATACCCAAAGCATCCTGTGATTCTCCCATGCATTAAAGATATATTTAATCAGCTCAACACCGGCATCAGTTGTCGAGCGACCCCTTGTGAAACCAAATTGATTTTTATGAAGTAAATTATTTATATTAAAAAAATTTAACATTTGATCAAGAATAATTTTTTCAAAAATCTTACTAAGTTTTAGTAGTACAGAAATAGGTCTAAAATTGGCGGGGTCTAATGTACTACCAGATTTAAATAAAGGTATTACTTTACTATGCTTCATTAAATCAGGATCATGTACCTTCCCTGTTGGACCTTCTGCTGACCTCTCATCCGGACGGATATCAGGTCTCCGTCGATGCCCCTCTGTGCTCTTCGGAACATTATTTGATCCGGAGTACGGTACCATTCACGCTCCAATCGCAGTTGCAATCTGCAGCTTACCGCCGTGTTTGGTACTACAGGTCGGGACAGGATGTGGTCTTTTTTGCATCCTACCCTTCGGGGTGGGTTTGCTTCTCGCCGAAAGATCCCAGCGTTGTTGCCGATTCTGTTGCTGATGTGGTACTTCAGGGTATGGATCTTTTTATTTCATCCTCTGTGGTGCCTATCGAAGGCAGATCCGGGCCATGATTTGGTCGCTCCTGTAAAATAGCATTACGCTATAAGCAGGAGTGTTACTAGGCTTGGGCTGACGCATCATCGTCTCGGGATGTAAATACCAGCGCTCTTAAAAAGAAGTATAATTCCGCCTCCAGGTCCTTCAAAAGCGTCATTGTCAAGGCAAGGTCTGAGCACATGTGAGAAGTGAGGGGAGAAGCTAGTTCGCCTTCCTTCGGGAACCCGTGCATTCTGGTCTCTCGTCAAGGCTGTCCAAGGGAAGTTCTGTCAGCCATCTCTTCCATCACTGCACAGGGAGGATGACTCACTGGTCCATGCCGCAAAGGAGAAAACCGATCTGTTGAGCTCTCTCTTTGCGTCCAACTCGACTGTTGATGACGGGGGGAACACACCGCCGACCATCCCGCGGTTTGAGTGCCCCATGCCGGATGTGCGGTTTACACAGCGCTCGGTTCGCAAAGCACTCTTCTCCCTGACCTACGTCAGCAAGTCGAGTGGGCCTGATGGAGTCCTTCCCATTGTGCTGAAGACGTGTGCTCCGGAGCTGGCACCGGTTTTAGCGCGTCTTTTCTGGTACTCCTACTCCCAAGGCGTAGTCGCGAATTTATGGAAGACAGCTTTCGTGCATCCGATCCCTAAAAATGTAACCGCTTTGATCCGTCCAACTACAGGCCTATCGACATCATCTCCTTGTTCTCGAAAATAATGGAATCAATTATATACTGCCAGCTCATGACGTACCTTGAGGATCATCAGCTGATTAGTGACCGCCAGTACAGTTTCCGTCGTGGTCGATCAGCTGGTGATCTTCTGGTCTATCTGACTCATAGATGGGCGGAGGCAGTAGAGTCCAAGGGGGAGGCATTGGGCGTTAGTTTGGACATAGTGAAGGCCTTGGATCGGGTCTGGCACAAAGCGCTTCTTTCGAAGCTTCCTTCCTATGAGCTTCCCGAGAAATTGTACAAATGGATCACCAGTTTCCTTGCTGATGGGAGCGTCAACGTCGTAGTAGATGGTGCATGCTCTGATTTTAAGTCTATCAACGCTGGTGTTCCACAAGGCTGCGTGCTATCACCAACGCTGTTTCTCGTGCATATCAATGATATGTTGCAAACTGGTAACATTCATCGCTATGCAGACGATAGCACTGGTAATGCCTTATATACCGACCGTGCCAATATTTCTCGGGAAAACGTCGCCGAGTACCGGGACAAACTTGTGTCTGAAGTCGAGTCTTTGCTGAACAAAGTCTCGGATTGGGTACGACTAAATCTAGTTCAGTTCAATCACCAGAAGACACAAGTTCGCGCGTTTACCGCTCAAAAGAACCCCTTTGTCGTATCTCCTCAGTTTCAAAGCACTCCCCTTGCTGCCTTAGCTAGCATCGGAATCCTCGGCGTCGACAAATTGAATAGTGTGCAGTTTCGTGATCACTTGGAAGGGAAGGCCAAATGGGCCTCTAAAAAGCTTGGCGTGCTCAGCAGAGCGAGACAGTATTTCATGCCGGCACATCGCTTGCAACTTTACAAAGCGCAAGTTCGGCCTCACATGGAATACTGTTCTCATCTCTGGGCTGGGGCACCCAATTTCCAGCTCCTTCCACTTGACCGCATCCAGCGCAGAGCGGTTCGAATAGTCGACGACCGAGTTTTTTCTGATCAGGTCGATACACTGGCACTGCGTAGGGATGTTGCATCCCTTTGCATTTTCTATCGAATTTTCCATGGGGAGTGCTCTGAGAAATTGTTCGGATTAATTCTAGCCGCCAAATTTCACGAACGCACATCGCGTCAAAATTCACGATACCTTCCTCACCATCTGGATGCTTGGCGGTCCACGACTGTACGTTTTACTAGGAGTCTTCGTTCTCGTACAACTTATCTGTGGAATTGTTTACCACTGGCGATTTTTCCGGACCGATACGACTTAGGGACCTTCAAGAATAGAGCTTACGCCTTTCTAAAAGGCCGGCAACGCATCTGCAATTCCCCTGGTGTTGCGGTTGTTCATGGGCGGCGGTAGTCACTTACCATCAGCCGCATGCTCGATTGCCCCCTTTTCCATAAAAAACCCCATATTTTAGTTAAGTGGTAGAGGGCAATTGGTGCAGATGTCGGCAACGCCGGCCCTGGAGGAGCTGGACGAGCTGGAGGAGCAGCCGGCGCGCGGGCCTAGTGTGCTGGAGCGCGACGTATGCCCTGCCGCGCAGCCGCTCGCCTCCTTCAGCTGGCACCCGGCGCACGAGGCGCGCCTGCTGGCCGTCTGCCTGACGGGTGAGTGTGCAGCCCCAGCTGCCAGCTGCTGGAGCGCGACGTGTGCCCCGCCGCGCAGCCGCTCGCCTCCTTCAACGAGCACCCGGCGCACGAGGCGCGCCTGCTGGCCGTCTGCCTGGCGGGTGAATGTGCAGCCCCATTTGCCAGCTGCCAGTTGCTGGAGTGCGACGTATGCCCCGCCGCGCAGCCGCTCGCCTTCTTCAGCTGGCACCCGGCGCACGAGGCGCGCCTGCTGGCCGTCTGCCTGGCGAGTGAGTGTGCAGCCTCAGCTGCCAGCTGGGATTGGAGCGCGGCTTCTAACGCGCACGGAACAAATATTCATATGGTCTATAAATATTTGAGTTGTTATTGATCTTAGATGTTCCAAATGCATTTTATTTGGTATATACCTCCACAATGTAGGTTAAACTCCAATATCGGGAGTAATTAAAAAGTAATAAAAGATAATTTAAAAGTTAATAAGACTAGTTGTAGTGTTTTATGATTGCAGCACGAATAAGTCGGTTCGTCCGATTGAAGAAGTACTACACTGTCATAGATCCCAGCTTAATATTTCAGCTTAATTCTGCCGTGTTTCAGTGTTAAGTCTGACCCTTTTTACTGGTGACAAGATATTTCATCTTATACCGAGAAGTTGACAACGCATTATCAATTTAAGTGTTAATTCATATTATATGGTCCACAGAGTCCACTTATCATCAGATGGACTGCGTGTTTGTTATCACACTTACATCTATAAAATCATAAACAGTGAAAACATTGTTCTAACGTATGTAGTTTCTTGTTCCAACTTTGAATCTTGCAAGATTACTTCATATTATGCTTTTGGCTGTTACGCTCGTTGTGAACGCTCTCTAGTGGTGGGTCTGTACGTGTGCGTGTGCGTGTGTGTGTGTAGGTGGAGTGGTGAAGTACACTGTGTGCGAGCGCGTGATGATGCGCTGGGCGCGGTGGGTCTGTACGAGTGCGTGTGCACGTGTGTGTGCAGGTGGAGTGGTGGAGTACACGGTGTGCGAGCGCGTAACGGTGGGCTGGGGCGCCCGTGGCGGGCTGGTATGGGCGGGCGGCGGTGCGCTGCGGCTGATGCGTGATGACTTTTACTCCACTCTGCGAGACATCTCACACATCATGCAGCAACGTGCCAGCACTGACTACGGGCTCAAGGTGATTCTATAATTATAATCATATCATGATGTAATTCCTGGCAATTTTTAAGGATTTTCTGTTATTGGACACATTTTATTTTAATTCAAAGACAAGACAAGTCCACTGCTTCACTCGAACCACTGTTAATAAACATACTACGCCGAATGGCGTACGCGCCAACGCGATGTTAGAGTCGGCTGACGTCGAGAATACTCCACACTATTCGCATTGCCTATTATTCTGCATATTAATCGTCCAGTCCGGTTTTAAACGCTCTCAATACTACACTAGACGCTACGCTGACGCTCGCGCCGCCTGAGTAAGCGTTATTTAAATCGCTTTAACCTATCATCGGCTTCCTAGCTCAGCTATCTTCTCTACAACTAATTATTTACATTGATTCTCCACCTCTTTCTCTCGCTCTGTAGTCTGAACTTGTATTTCGAACTGTCTTTTGTGTGGGAGTAAAAAATATATTTAATTCGTGGAAGTAGAAATAGTAGAAATTTTATTTGCGTTGCATCCATCCCACACGCCGTAAAATGTAGAAAAAAAAATTATTATGACGTATCTTAGCCCGTTTAAAGTATGAGGGGAAAATTAAAATCATAGTATCGAGCGTGTCATTAAGGAAATAAATAGTAGGCTAAAGCACAGTGTACGAGTCAATGGACGGACCATTGACTCGTACACACACGAGCGCGTGCTGTTGTTGCCCATAAATCAATTCATCAATCAATTCAATTTCGGATATTTTGAAATAAATGTAGAAACCTTATTTACGCCTATTTTTAAAAACTGCAAAAAGTGTATATAATTATTTATATTTTGAACTTAATTATTAAATTTGGCTAGTCTTTTAAAAATAACCCTGTATGTATAACTTTGAAGACGTAAATCTTTTTGCAATATAAAATGTATCTTTTTAGCCGGACTTGTGGCAAAATGCAGATCTTGCCGAAGATGAAGCACTGAGTGGATTGTGGCATTTCTTAGCGCTGAGCAAGTCGCTGGTGGAAGACGGTGAGTACCAAGAAAATTACCCTTAAACATGAGATATGTGATGAGGTAAATTAATTTTAAATTTTCAGTAGCTTTGACTTTGACAAAAATACAAACAACAAAGTGCGCGTACCTGTGTCTACGTACATCTTAATTTTCTATAAAAAAAATATCTTTTTTTGTAATACATCAGATATAAACGTATATCAATTTGGTCCTTCAAGCCGGATGATCTCTTAATTTTAGCTAGTAAAAAATACTGACTTATACAGCTTATGATGACATATTACTCTTATACTTGACTAAGCATGTTTGTTGGGTAGGCTGCTTTCGCAACAGTCCATGGAAGCACCCTGGAGTTCGTACGGTGTTACGGTCGCCGGGAGAGGGCGGATACCGTTCCGAGGCAGTGCCGCTGCTGCTGCCCGACATGCCCAATAGGAAAGTGACCGTGTATAGGTGCGTGCAGCGTATTATATAGTTGCTTAACATAACATATTTTCACAATTAAAATGATATAAACTATTCATTTTCCGTTTGAACAGGCCAGAAGGCAAAATATTTTGATTTACAAAGTGGTTTCACAGATATGATAATGTAAGTGTCATTAATTATAGGAGTAAATATCTTAGTTATTAGTTCTTCAAATAGTGGATTGTTAACGAACTTCATTTAATGGCTTCTTTTATAAGAGAAAAGAAAATATCATCATTACAGCTTATCAAAGTTCACTGCTGAACATTGGCTTTTACCTCATAAGAGGGACGTTAGCCATAATTGCCACGCTTGTTAAACGTGTTGGCAACCGCAGTTTTTTCTGGTTGATAATAGGAAGATCAATTTCCTTGTGTGTTTCCTTTTGTCGCCTTGCTCTCTACTCGTTACTCGTAGATTGTACACAACAACGTTCGAGGTTTACAAAACAAAGAACTAGTGTCATCGGCCGCTCACAGTCGACTAAAGTAGTTACGGAGAATTGAGCGTAACTTAGTGCGCAATGTACCGTAGTGGGCGTGTAGTGGTATAGATGAAGAGTTTGGTCGTTGCGGTGGTGTAGGAGCGCGGAGCGGCAGTGCGCGCTGCAGCTGTGCGGCTGGGGCTGGGGCTGGGAGAACGCGGGCGTGGGCGTGGAGCGCGCCGAGGCGGAGGGCACGCCGTGCCGCGCCGCCGCCATCGCCGCCTTCCACCTGCGCGCGCGCGCCGCGCTCGACGTGCTGGCGCGCGCGCGCGAGCCGCGCCTGCGCGTCGCCGCGCTCGGTACGCACACGTTCCTTGCAGCAGTGCGGCGCTGCAGCAGTGCGGCACTGCGGCGCGGGCGTGGAGCGCGCCGAGGCGGAGGGCACGCCGTGCCGCGCCGCCGCCATCGCCGCCTTCCACCTGCGCGCGCGCGCCGCGCTCGACGTGCTGGCGCGCGCGCGCGAGCCGCGCCTGCGCGTCGCCGCGCTCGGTACGCACACGTTCCTTGCAGCAGTGCGGCGCTGCAGCAGTGCGGCACTGCGGCGCGGGCGTGGAGCGCGCCGAGGCGGAGGGCACGCCGTGCCGCGCCGCCGCCATCGCCGCCTTCCACCTGCGCGCGCGCGCCGCGCTCGACGTGCTGGCGCGCGCGCGCGAGCCGCGCCTGCGCGTCGCCGCGCTCGGTACGCACACGTTCCTTGCAGCAGTGCGGCGCTGCAGCAGTGCGGCACTGCGGCGCGGGCGTGGAGCGCGCCGAGGCGGAGGGCACGCCGTGCCGCGCCGCCGCCATCGCCGCCTTCCACCTGCGCGCGCGCGCCGCGCTCGACGTGCTGGCGCGCGCGCGCGAGCCGCGCCTGCGCGTCGCCGCGCTCGGTACGCACACGTTCCTTGCAGCAGTGCGGCGCTGCAGCAGTGCGGCACTGCGGCGCGGGCGTGGAGCGCGCCGAGGCGGAGGGCACGCCGTGCCGCGCCGCCGCCATCGCCGCCTTCCACCTGCGCGCGCGCGCCGCGCTCGACGTGCTGGCGCGCGCGCGCGAGCCGCGCCTGCGCGTCGCCGCGCTCGGTATTAGACACGCATTTGTTTTTTCTTTCTTTATTTATCGTGGCACTGGCTACAAAGTTTTTCGCCAATTTTTGTTATAAAATAAGGATGACAAACTAGTATAGTCCATTTGATGATAAGTGGATACTGTGGCCCATAGATATTCTACATTCCCCCCCCCCCCCCCCCACTACAATTTAAAACGCAGATGCGTTGTCACCCATAAGGACACAGCAGCATTAAACTGCTAATGTACGCTGGTATTCCGTGAGAACGTGGTCCCCCTACGATCGAGCTAACCCATTCATACTACAACCGTAATATAAAAGCCTTATACAATATATTATATCATGTGTTCAGTGATTAGTGGATAATCTTAAAAAGTAAAACATTCCAATATTGCAAAGTTTGTTGTTTAATCAAATAATTTTGAACACATATAAATCATCAATATTCAATCAATATTTACATTAAATAAAAGAAGTGTACCATTTAGAAACCTGCTTTAAACCCTTAATATTTTAAAATAATTGGTCACTGTTCAATACATTTTTTTTATATTGCGGATGCTTTAACTTTGTCAAAATAAATATTTTTGTAATTTTTCACTAAAACAATAATTCAAGTTATTTAAAAAAATACATGCATTAGCAGTCATACTATTTTTTGCTTACTTAGTTGTATTCACAAAAATGTAAAATAAGGTAAAAAATTGTTTTCTTTTAAAAACAAACATTAAAACATAAAAAATCACAAAAAGATTGTCCCAAGTTGTACCTAACTTGGGATAATATTTTCTTTAGTATTTTTTCTGAATGGTCATAAGTTTTGCGATGGCCCATTTCAAGATATTTCAATAATTACAGGACACCTGTATAATAAATGAATCAATTTCACCACTCCATTATTTAAATGAAATCGTATAAGTATACATATCGCTTTGCTCGTGGTGAAGTTTCCTCCCAAACTCTTCCTCTTGACCATATTAACAATAACAACTAAACAGTCTCATTGTTGGGTAAAACCCTCCTGTAATTTCTGACATGTTTTTGCAGAAAAGTCTGCTGTGCTTATTGCTTTCCCATGAACACCCGTACGTTAATGGTTAGGTTATTGCATGCTGCGGCCCATAGACATCTACATCTATTTATAGGGAAAAAAGAGTTGAATGGAGCTTTGTACCGTAGATATGAAATGTGAAATATGTAGAATGATATACCATGACGAGGGTTTTTACAATGAGTGTGAAATATGAAATCATCATCATCAGCTCTTCACAAGTCCACTGCTGAACATAGGCCTCCCCCAAAGAATACCACAAAGCACGGTCCTGAGCCACCTGCATCCATCGGCTTCCTGCTTATCTTAACAGGTCGTCACTCCATCTAGTGGGGGGACGCCCTACACTTCGCCTGCCGGTACGAGGCTGCCACTCGAGAACCTTTTTTCCCCTTCGGTTGTCGGTTCTTCGAGCTATAGTGCCGGCCCATTGCCACTTCAGCTAATTAATCCGTTGGGCTATGTCGGTCACTCTGGTTCTACGCGGATATCCTCATTTCTAAGTTTATCACGCAGAGAAACTACAAGCATAGCCCTCTCCATAGCTCGCTGAGCGATCTTGAGCTTCCTCATCCGGCCAGCATTGAAGGACCACGTCTCAGTTCCATATGTCATCACTGGCAACACGCACTGGTTGTACAGTCTCGTTTTCAAGTTTTGAGGTATACCTGATGAGAAGATGTGCCGTAATTTCCCGGACGCTACCCAACTGAGTTGAATCCGTCGATTGACCTCTCAGTCGAAGTTGGACTTACCTAGTCAGACTATTTAGACTTATTATTTATACTATTAAAGTTTCGGGTATATGACGTCACCCTGTCTTACACCTCTCAGCAATTGGATAGGTTTCATACTCTGGTTCTGTACTCGGATAGCCCTACTGTACAAACACTTCAAAACATCGATATACCGACAGTCAACTTGGCACCGCTGAAGGGACTGCAGCACCGCCCAAATTTCGACGGAATCAAAGGCTTTCTCAAAGTCCACATACGCCAGACCTATTGGCAAATTGTACTCCTTGAACTGCTATACAATTTGCCGAAGGTTATGTATGTGTTCTATGGTGCTAAAGCCTTTTCGGAAACCGGCTTGTTCGGGAGGCTGGAAGTCGTCAAGTCTGCGCGCGAGATGATTCGTAATGACTCTCGAAAACAGCATGTAGACGCGGCTCAGAAGAGAAATCGGTCTGTAGTTCTTCAAGAGAGCGCTGTCACCTTTCTTGAAGAACAAGACCACCGCACTTCTGCTGCACGCCTCCGGTGTAATGCCACCATGGAGGACGGAATTAAAGAGCTTCTGAAGGACTTCAAGTACCGGTTTTTCACCCGCTTTCAGAAGCTCCGCTGTAATTCCATCCTTACCTGGGGCCTTGCCGTTTTTAAGGTGCTGGAGAGCTATTCTAATCTCGCTCAGACTGACGTCCGGGATATCATCGGAATAATGTCGGATAAGACTCGCTCTTGGATCGTTACTCACACTTGCGTGTGGCTCCAACGATGATGTGTACAGCTGCCCATAGAACCTCTCAATCTCACTCAAAATATCTCAGGTGTCCCGGAAATGACGCTGCCATACTCGGTCTTCAGCTTCGACAGTTGGCTCTTTCTGTCAGACAGATCTCTAGCAAAGACTTTGGAGCCCTGGTTCCTCTCGATCGCTTCTTCAATACGAGCAGTATTAAAGTTGCGTATGTCCCGCCGCATGCATTTGGAAATCTGTCTGTTCAGTTGCCTGTATGCTGTCAAATCTACTGAAGACTGCAGCTTCATATTTCGTCTAACAGCCATGAGATTAAGAGTGTGATCGGAGAGTTTTTGTGTTCTTTTGCGGCGGGTCTTGCAAAATTTAGCTCCGACCGCATGGACAGTGTCCACGAGCTTGTCATTCATATCGTCCACTGCATTGCATCTTCTAGGCATTGAAAATGGTTTCGTAGCTCGAGCTGAAAGGTTTCGGGACTTTGGATTAGAGTAAGAGGGGGACGGAGCGTTGACTTCATTAGACCTGACCTCTCCAACTTAACGTTTAGGTTCAGTGTGCCTCTCACCATTCGGTGATCGCTGCTGGTTTCCACCCTCGCGATCACTGAGACATCACTGAGCAGTTGTCGTCTGGTCGTCATAATGAGGTCAATCTCATTTTTTGTCGAACCGTCGGGACTCGACCAGGTCCACTTCCTGTGGGGCCGCTTCTGGAAGAAAGAGTTCATCATAAAGAGTCCCTCTTTCTCCATTAAGTCGGCCAGCTGCTGGCCCCTTGGGTTCCATTGCCCTGTTCCAAATTTCCCTACTTTCAGCTCACCGTTCTCTCTTGTGCTTAGTTTTGCATTGAAGTCTCCCATTAACACTGTATATTGGGTTTTGGAGGAATACATGGCTCTAGAGATATCCTCATACATTTCCTCCACCTCCTCATCGGGGTGTGCCGAGGTTGGTGCGTAAACCTGTATGACCTTCAGCGAATACCGTTTGGTGATTCTGAGTATAAGGTACGCAACCCTCGTCGACACCCTCCCAAGTTTTACAACGTTGTTAACGAGAGATTTGTGGACGATGTATCCGACACCTCCTTGGGGCAGATGGTCGCCCTCCCGGTGATAGAACAAGTTGCCGGATTCGAGGATTACTGTGTCCTCCACCTCTCTTTGGATCTCGGATAATCCCATGATATTCCAGCGCAACTTATCTATCTCTTCTTCCAGCTCCAGGATCTTCTCGTCAGTCCTCAGGGTGCGTGCGTTGTGTGTTGCCAGGTTAAGTCGTCATAGGTGGCAACCGAACCTCCACCGGAGATTCTTAGCAGCCCCTGCCCCGCCGTTATCATGGTCGCCACCGTAGCCAGGAATAGCGGGACCGCCGGGGACTGGGGGCCGTGTCTTCGTTACTCTCATGGGGGGTGTATTGCTATAGTTGCCACGCTTGGCGAGCGGGTTGCAACCGCGGTTTTTTAATTGCTGTTTTGCTATTATCAGAAAGATGCTGCTACCCATCCTCTGCCTGTTTCCCTCTGTCGCCTCTTACGACACCCACGGGAAGACATGGGGTAGTGAGTATTATTTCCCGCCACTATACGGGCTATATATATATATATATATATATATATATATATATATATAAATAAATATGAAATAAGTAGCATGTAATACATTGGTAAGGTGGGCTGCACTTAGTACTGTGGATATGAATTATGATTATTAGTTATATTATGTGGGGAGGGGGAATCATGTATGTGAATAAAGAACGAGTAGTGTGGTGTGGCAGCGCTGGCAGGTCCGGGTGCGGACGAGCGGCTGTGGCACGAGGCGATCTCGGCCGCCGCGCCCGCGCTGCCCGACGCATACCTTCGCGCCACGCTGCACTTCCTGGCCGCCGTGGCCGCGCCGCCGCACGCAGACCTCGCCGCCGTGCTGGTGAGTGGGACAACACCACAACACAACAACACAACACCAATACACACACACCCACTCGACCTAACCCACCTGCGCGCCACGCTGCACTTCCTGGCCGCCGTGGCCGCGCCGCCGCACGCAGACCTCGCCGCCGTGCTGGTGAGTGGGACAACACCACAACACAACAACACAACACCAATACACACACACCCACTCGACCTAACCCACCTGCGCGCCACGCTGCACTTCCTGGCCGCCGTGGCCGCGCCGCCGCACGCAGACCTCGCCGCCGTGCTGGTGAGTGGGACAACACCACAACACAACAACACAACACCAATACACACACACCCACTCGACCTAACCCACCTGCGCGCCACGCTGCACTTCCTGGCCGCCGTGGCCGCGCCGCCGCACGCAGACCTCGCCGCCGTGCTGGTGAGTGGGACAACACCACAACACAACAACACAACACCAATACACACACACCCACTCGACCTAACCCACCTGCGCGCCACGCTGCACTTCCTGGCCGCCGTGGCCGCGCCGCCGCACGCAGACCTCGCCGCCGTGCTGGTGAGTGGGACAACACCACAACACAACAACACAACACCAATACACACACACCCACTCGACCTAACCCACCTGCGCGCCACGCTGCACTTCCTGGCCGCCGTGGCCGCGCCGCCGCACGCAGACCTCGCCGCCGTGCTGGTGAGTGGGACAACACCACAACACAACAACACAACACCAATACACACACACCCACTCGACCTAACCCACCTGCGCGCCACGCTGCACTTCCTGGCCGCCGTGGCCGCGCCGCCGCACGCAGACCTCGCCGCCGTGCTGGTGAGTGGGACAACACCACAACACAACAACACAACACCAATACACACACACCCACTCGACCTAACCCACCTGCGCGCCACGCTGCACTTCCTGGCCGCCGTGGCCGCGCCGCCGCACGCAGACCTCGCCGCCGTGCTGGTGAGTGGGACAACACCACAACACAACAACACAACACCAATACACACACACCCACTCGACCTAACCCACCTGCGCGCCACGCTGCACTTCCTGGCCGCCGTGGCCGCGCCGCCGCACGCAGACCTCGCCGCCGTGCTGGTGAGTGGGACAACACCACAACACAACAACACAACACCAATACACACACACCCACTCGACCTAACCCACCTGCGCGCCACGCTGCACTTCCTGGCCGCCGTGGCCGCGCCGCCGCACGCAGACCTCGCCGCCGTGCTGGTGAGTGGGACAACACCACAACACAACAACACAACACCAATACACACACACCCACTCGACCTAACCCACCTGCGCGCCACGCTGCACTTCCTGGCCGCCGTGGCCGCGCCGCCGCACGCAGACCTCGCCGCCGTGCTGGTGAGTGGGACAACACCACAACACAACAACACAACACCAATACACACACACCCACTCGACCTAACCCACCTGCGCGCCACGCTGCACTTCCTGGCCGCCGTGGCCGCGCCGCCGCACGCAGACCTCGCCGCCGTGCTGGTGAGTGGGACAACACCACAACACAACAACACAACACCAATACACACACACCCACTCGACCTAACCCACCTGCGCGCCACGCTGCACTTCCTGGCCGCCGTGGCCGCGCCGCCGCACGCAGACCTCGCCGCCGTGCTGGTGAGTGGGACAACACCACAACACAACAACACAACACCAATACACACACACCCACTCGACCTAACCCACCTGCGCGCCACGCTGCACTTCCTGGCCGCCGTGGCCGCGCCGCCGCACGCAGACCTCGCCGCCGTGCTGGTGAGTGGGACAACACCACAACACAACAACACAACACCAATACACACACACCCACTCGACCTAACCCACCTGCGCGCCACGCTGCATTTCCTGGCCGCCGTGGCCGCGCTGCCGCACGCAGACCTCGCCGCCGTGCTGGTGAGTGGGACAACACCACAACACAACACCAATACGTACACACACACTCGACCTAATATATTCATATCCAATATCTTATTAGGAAAACGTACAAATTCTGAGGGATATGATAATGAAACGAAAGTTAGCTCGGATTTCCGATGCAGGGTCAGCGCCATGAAAATAATCACCACAACTCTAGAACCGGATTGTTAAACTTACGTCTTTTATCACTAGCTTCTTTCTATATCGAAACATCTATCGCATAAACGGAATCGACGATGGCCAGCTACTAAATATATCTGACTTTATATATTTTGCAATAACCGTCCAAATATGCAGAGAAGGTTCAGTATAAGTAATCTATGCAAATGGCAAACATTCTGTCATTATTATCTATTACATTCAAAATACGTGGTGATGCATTATTTTGACTGACTTTCATTCATAAATATCTAACGTTTTATGCACGCACACATTCGTAAGAGTACCTTGTAGCGCATCTCCCCCGCTTTTTTTTTTGTTTACCGTTACATCGCTAAGTACCTGCGTGCGCTCGCCCAGCCAAGCCAACAGCTGACAGTGTTGACCGTGACCTCATTACGTACGCTTTGTTACCAATGACGTAACAAAAATAGTCGAACCGCGGGAACTATGAAATGGTGCAATATTACAGTGTTTACCGCGTTTGCAAAGACAAGAAATTAATACACGTGTACCATCGATCGGAGAACAATTTTTGCAGCTAACTAAAGGCTGTTAGACTTTGGACAGTTCACCACTCCGTCACATGGAAGTGCTCGAGATGTTCATTCGGTAATAAGCCCGGCCTGTCGAAAACGCAGTGATCTAGTCAAAGACTACAATATTATATGGAAGATAGAGTTCAGAGTTAGCCGGTATGTGATGTCGGCAGGTGTTAATGAAAGAGAACACGTGTTGCTGAGACTAATTCTTTAATTATACTGATTAATAAACTTAAGAGAACATGTATTACTTACACTACTAGTAGGGTTGAGGCACATACACTACACCTCCCCCGATACTTAAAAAAAAAGAAATGTTCTTTATTTACTTTTTTTTTTTACATATTATTTTCTTGATAGATATAATAAAAAATCCTATTACATAAAAATAAATTTAATATTGAAGATTAAAATAAAATACAATGTTACTTAGCCATTAAATTTATATAATTTCTAAATTTAGTAAACATAATTGAGTAAAATAAAGCAGTTAAATAGAATATAAAATAATTAAAAAAAAGATTATAATCTCATGATCATGATCAGGTCAGGTTATACATAATATTATCGAGTCAATCCAGGATACGCATGCGATTTTATTTCGTACGTCATTAAACCTGTCGTATTTTTGGTACTAACCAACGTTACAACATCATGTTAACATAATCATGTAGATATATAGGTGGGCAACAATAATAATGCATTTTGCAATAAACTTGACATCATATTATATGTACTTTTTATCCTTTCTAAAAACCTGATGTCTACGAAAAGTTCTCATTGACATTTTAGCATTTCCATAATACTCGTTTGCGCATCCGACTATCACTGAAATAGCTAATTATCTACCAGATCTTGTGCTTTACCTATTAACATTCCAACATATTCTCATTACTGAAATAAGTTTATATGTCAATTTACTCTAACCAATGTGTATAAAACACTCACTGAATTTATTTTTATCAGTCAAATCTCTCAATACTTAATTAATTATTATACTTACAATCCTTGCCATTCAACACAAAACTTTAAGTATCTTAACCCGTCTAATCACATTAGTGAAATAAAAGAAAAAAAATATTGCCAAGGAATTATTACAAGTGTTTGAAATAGGTTTTATTACGATCTACCTACCTAGATGTTCATATAATATTAAAATATTGGAATCAAAATGCGAAACTGATCTATATTTTTTTTTAAAAAGATTTCGACCGATGATACCATTCTCTATAATTGGTAACGAATTAAAAACATAGAACTTGTTCTCAATAGTTAGATCGCTTGTGCTCAATTACTGAAATACAACATACATTTTCCGATAATTAGGCAATATAATAAGTATAAAATATTTTTTTTTACTATTTACAGGTATTACAAATTTATATCATATATTCATATAGTCTCGTATAATATTTAGATATATCGTTGTCAGTCAGGGATTGAGGCTCACAACAAAATTTAAATTAATTAATTGCAAACATAAGATAATGAGTTTCAAAATCGTATTAAATAAAGTAATTATTTTCATTATCCATACAACTAAGTTGGCATCACTACTATTTTCTCAGAAAATAATAAATTGTAATAGATAAAAGTTTATGATTTGAAAGTTCAATCAATATTATACCGAAAATAATTGATTACATTTCATATTTAGATATCCCGAACAAAGAAGTCAATGCAAAGCAACGTACCTAATCAATTTTGTTAACATAACAACAGACAGATCAAAATACATGTTGTGATCTCATCTGCGTAAGCGTTTTGTGACACCTTTGTTTTAAATTCCAAAGTACACGTATATGGAAACGTTTGAGATTACATCGTATGATGGTACCTACTTTCAACAATACAATAAAGCGATACCGTGAATAAAATAATTTGCCTTTCCTAATAGTTTACCGTTAAATATTTGTTTTAAACATTTTCTCTTAATTTACACAGTTTAGGTAGTTACATTTCATTGTTATAATAGGTTTACATACATTATTAAGTATTCATTATTTAAGTTATTTATAATAGTCGAAAACACATTACTACTTTTTTATTTTATGACTTTTATGGAATACCTATGTTTACCTTAATTGAGACAAATTTAAAATATACACCATTAAACATCTAAAGTTTGTTAAAACAAAATATTTATTAACATTAGAAGAGACAATTTTTTTTTTAAGCAGATTACAAAATTTTATGTTTCGTTGTCCATAATAAAAATATACTATTATGTTATGAAACTTAAAATAATAGAGTACATACTTTCGACTTGTTTTTAGTAGGTAACTAATATACAATATTTCGTTTAAAATTGTAAAAATTTTACATTAAAAAAACTAAAAGAAATTTTAGGGTAGAGTTATTGAAAATATGAAAAAGTTTTGAAAATTCATATAAAATATATTTAAGCGAAAACGTATTTATCATTTTTTTTATTGTGGTTGTTTTTTTTTGCTTTGGCGGGGATTCCATTATGACCTCATTTTAATTGTTCTCATGTCCCTACATGTTAATTATTTTCATACTTGCACATCTCCATAGATAAGCACATCTCATTACATTCCTTTTTGATTGTCAGGCCTATTATTTTTTCATAATTGTTGTACGTACTTTATTTCTTTCTTATATTTTTGACCTTTAGCTAGCTTTATTTCTTTTACTATTCTCTCTCCTTAATATTTATTTATTAATTAGATACTGGGAATCGGAGTATTAATTCACTTCATTTATATTTTATTTCGTGATATTTATCACGCGGGTACTTAATAAATATGGGCCCCCCATTTACTTGGGTATTATATTATTTTTTCATAACATTCATTTCATTTTATTGGTACATAAACTTTTTTATCATACTATCTCAAGGTAGAACTGTACCTTGGGTTGTGCGCACAACCTTGAGGTCTACGTTTAAGTCATTTTAAAAGGACTCCAACAATTGTCACGGAGGAAAACTAAGTTCACACTATGATCCAATGAAGGATGTGACCTCTATGTACCATTATTAAGGGTAACAAATTTAAGACTTCTCTGGTCCCCAACAGTACTAATATGAGTAAATTCGTTCACATCTCACTTGTACTGAAGGTATTGTTCCCTAGTACCCGTTACTTCCGATTTTATCATCCAATCATGGAAACATACCCTGCTCGAGGAATATACGCTTTACCAGTGATGGACGTTCCCGTATCTCTCCATGATTTATTTGTCAAGGTCATCTTTTAATTTATTTTGATTCTCTTCGTAAATTTTTATTTCTTTCTTTATCTTTATAGTACCTGCTGTTATCTACTTGACTGAATCGGTAACTTATATATACTTTCATACTCCATTTCCATTACAAACTTTCATAGTTCTCGCTCATAATGGTTTCAGTACCAGGATTTTATCAAATATTTGGGTGATCAGTCCAATATTGACGAAACTTAGAAATTCAATCATTCGTATTCACACTTTTGAACATTCCTTCTCTCATTCCTCACGCCTTTTAAATATATACTTTTTAATATTGTACAAAAATGAGGTAATATATGTCAACTTTTCATGTCTGTGTTTAACTTCGTTAAGAAACATTATTATTAAAACTTCTTTTAATTATTATTTTCCTTATCACATTAAAATGATACTTTTAAATATTTTCTAACTGACACAGAAGTTTATAGTATAATTACATCGCATCGCTTATAGTTTTATTACTTTTACTTATATCGAAAAATATATTAGCATTAGTTATACATTTAATTTATATATAAAAATTTACGATTGCTAGAAATTTAAGAAACCGTATAACCTACAGAAAATAATTTGTAATCACTATTACAGCTAAATTTATTTTAAACAAAACATTAAGTTATTTCCAATTTTTGATTTTTAAGCAGGTTATATTAACTTTAAGGTAATTTATTAAAGGTTATGTATTTATTTATATAGTTACATAAAGGTTTTCATGCCTTTAGAAAAGAACACAAATAATTATGATTTATAATAATAGCGATTTTTTTTTTATAAAACCCTTTTCAAAATTGTATACTTACATTTAAATAAAATTTATCACGGAAAAAAATTGGGCTGAATTTAAAAATATATTTACTTTAATACGAATCTTGTCATTGTAAAATGTAACTTAATATATTGTATTATTTTTTAATAGAATACCTACTAAAATATTGTAAATATTATAAAATGTTAAATTCAAGTTACTTGTAAATACCGTACATTTAATATTTAATGCATTACTTATTTATTTAAAATAAAACATAATAAAAAATTATTAAAATCAAATGTTGAAAATTACGCTGATGCGATGTTACCTCTTATATCTTCTGTTTCCTTTTCGGTTTAATTTTCATATCTTACTGGACAAAGCTCGCTAAGGTACAACTGCTCCTTTCCTTATTAAATTAATTTGCTGTTTCTTGAGTTTTGATCTTTGGTCATTATTTAAGAAATCACTTTTTATTCTTAGCATTATTTCTTAGTTACCTTCATAGTTATATTAAAGATAAATATATTATATTACTTCATATACGTTATAGTTTTTAAATTTTCAGTCAATTATTATTGTGGCCTCTTGTATTCATATTTATTAATTTTTCGTCACATTCGGTATTGCGTCCATTCCGTTATAATATTTCTTTTATCTGTTATTTCACTTCATTATTTAATTTAAATTTCTTATAATATTTTTATTTATCTTTTTTTTATGTAGTAGGCCCCGGCGGTGCGCATGCATTGTCGCAGCGCACCGCCTGGCAGGGTCGCCATGTGATGTCGGCAGGTGTTAATGAAAGAGAACACGTGTTGCTGAGACTAATTCTTTAATTATACTGATTAATAAACTTAAGAGAACATGTATTACTTACACTACTAGTAGGGTTGAGGCACATACACTACAGGTACGTGTTGAAACTACTTAATTCATCTGGATATCACCTGTTCGCGGAAAACGCTGTCAAGAATCGACGCCAGATGTCACTCGGCTCGGCTCGATACCGGTTGAAGTGCGGCCGAGCGTGGCAATGGCGCGCGGGTCGCGAGCGAAAAGGCGGAGTCGTCTGTAAGCGGTGCTAACGATTAGCACGTTGTCATTTTTGTCGGGAACTCGGAATAATTAAGTGCGGACAGTAAAAATACGGTCTAGGATTTGTGGCGCGCATCCCTACTGGAGAGCTTCCCAGGGACACATTGTGTCTGACTCAGAATCTGCATAAGTGCATTCGGCAATATTAGCTAGTGCGGCCTCTGATATTCTAGAACTAACTGTTGCTACGCGAAACGGTAGTGACCTTTGATCCAGAAACTCCGTGTGCGTTTTGTGCGTTAACCTTATACACAGCGATAGTTAGTGGCTTCTGTAATTTAGTTAATCGTACGATAGAGTTAATTGACTGTCATCGTGACGAACGAGGAAAGTGACTGTGGTCCGGAGCCGAAGCACTCTGAAGCGGTGCAGCATTTTGGAGCAGCTTGGAACTTGGCCGCGGCTGGTCGCCTATGCTTGACAAGGCCCCACACATTCACACCTCACTGTACACTACTCGCCATCCACTATTACACACACTCACGGCCTGCCCAAGCCTTGCTGCGAAGTTAGCTTCGGATAATGGTAAGTACTATGTGTTTCTAGCGCCCTCCCATATTATTTAGTGTAATTATAGAAATTCCACGTGGCCATATTCTGGCTCCGTCCCTCTGCTGCTCGTCGATGGGATTACTCATGGGCCCTAATCCCGTCATCCTTGAATGGGGCAGCTAGGGGCGTGTACATCACCCATTTCATTACTAACGTGTACGAGCACTGAACAATAACAATGATCCACCTCGAAAACATTTTTGTGAATGGTTAGTGTTATTTTAAGTGATTGCATATTTAAATAGTATAATTATGTTAATAATAAAAATAAATTTATATAAATATATAATTTTTCACTTTTCAGAATGAGACAGAGATGCGGCTAGAGGATCGTGTGGCGTTCGCATGCATCTACCTGTCGGACACGAAGCTCCACGAGTACGTGAAGCAGACGTGTGACACGCTCATGGAACAGGGCGATTTGTCCGGGATGCTGCTCACGGGTTTGTACAATTGATACACTGAAACAACTACTATATAAGTAGTGTGAGTGTTTCAGCTGTGGTTTTCCTCCACTTGCGATCAATGAAAGGCGATGATAAAAAAAATCTTAATATCCATAAAAAAAACTATAAAGTCTTTTCAGTAATTAATAATTAAACAAGGTTTGAAATGACCTTTCTTTTTATTTTCTACAATATTTCTTTAGTTTGTTTTTATTCTGTCAAACTAAGTGAGTAAAATAGGGATCTTAGCCGGAACAAACAGACAGACGGATAGACAGACTATAATTTTAAAAATTGTGTTTTTGTTATAAGTACCGTAAATACTTTCATATGCATTTAGTAAAAAGCTGTTATTTTGACATTACAAGCAGACACTTAAATTTCATTTATTTGTATAGATTTGTCTAAAAACAGAAACTATCGTAAACGGAACTACAATTGCGTGGGCATACTACCGTGCAAGCTACTCGTATGCGTCCGCGCCTGTGAGATCCGTATCTGTGACATAGTTTTTGATCTGGATTGTCGGTTTAGTAGTAAACAGAGAAGTCTTTGTAAGAATGTTGTTGTTGTGTGGGTGTCGTGTCGGTAAGGCGTGGAGTTGTGTGCGTAGCGAGATTTGTACTTCTGGTTTAGTACGTAGCTATTGACGTCGGTGTTGGGTGGATGACTTGGTGGTGCGTGAGCGCAGGGTCGATTCTTTTATCATATAAGAGATGTGAGGGTAAGGATTTTTTTTTTAATTTAGAAGAGTGGAAGGAAAAGGGGAGATCTCCCGCCGGGCAAGGTGTTCTGCCCGGGGAGCGGCCAACGCTCCGAGCGGTAGTTCGGAGCTATTCTATATATACTGCTTTAACTTCGAAACTTTGTTAGTGCGATTTAGGCTTCGATGTGTTTCGCTTGTGGCGTGACGACAGTGCCGCCACATCACCTCCCTGCTCAGACTGGAGGTCGATAGTGCAGTCCGATTGCTGGTGCGTCCTTGATGCCGGTGGGGAATGCATGCTGTGTGCGTAAGGGCACGTGACGCCGGTGCGAACGATATGCCGGTGTGTAATGCATGCCATACTACGCACTTGCAAGTGATGCCGGTGAGAACGATGAGCCAGAGCAAGTGCCAGTTACAGCGCTGCTGGCGGCCCGCTGCGCGCCGCCCGACCTGCTGCGTGTAGCGTGTAGCGTGTAGCGTGTAGCGTGTAGTTGTGTGTGACGTGGCGATGTGGTGCAGGCGTGAGCGCGGAGGGCGTGGCGCTGCTGCAGCGCTGGGTGGAGTGCGGCGGCGACGTGCAGTCGGCCGCGCTGCTGGCGGCCCGCTGCGCGCCGCCCGACCTGCTGCGTGTAGCGTGTAGCGTGTAGCGTGTAGCGTGTAGCGTGTAGTTGTGTGTGACGTGGCGATGTGGTGCAGGCGTGAGCGCGGAGGGCGTGGCGCTGCTGCAGCGCTGGGTGGAGTGCGGCGGCGACGTGCAGTCGGCCGCGCTGCTGGCGGCCCGCTGCGCGCCGCCCGACCTGCTGCGTGTAGCGTGTAGCGTGTAGTTGTGTGTGACGTGGCGATGTGGTGCAGGCGTGAGCGCGGAGGGCGTGGCGCTGCTGCAGCGCTGGGTGGAGTGCGGCGGCGACGTGCAGTCGGCCGCGCTGCTGGCGGCCCGCTGCGCGCCGCCCGACCTGCTGCGTGTAGCGTGTAGCGTGTAGCGTGTAGCGTGTAGCGTGTAGTTGTGTGTGACGTGGCGATGTGGTGCAGGCGTGAGCGCGGAGGGCGTGGCGCTGCTGCAGCGCTGGGTGGAGTGCGGCGGCGACGTGCAGTCGGCCGCGCTGCTGGCGGCCCGCTGCGCGCCGCCCGACCTGCTGCGTGTAGCGTGTAGCGTGTAGCGTGTAGCGTGTAGCGTGTAGTTGTGTGTGACGTGGCGATGTGGTGCAGGCGTGAGCGCGGAGGGCGTGGCGCTGCTGCAGCGCTGGGTGGAGTGCGGCGGCGACGTGCAGTCGGCCGCGCTGCTGGCGGCCCGCTGCGCGCCGCCCGACCTGCTGCGTGTAGCGTGTAGCGTGTAGTTGTGTGTGACGTGGCGATGTGGTGCAGGCGTGAGCGCGGAGGGCGTGGCGCTGCTGCAGCGCTGGGTGGAGTGCGGCGGCGACGTGCAGTCGGCCGCGCTGCTGGCGGCCCGCTGCGCGCCGCCCGACCTGCTGCGTGTAGCGTGTAGCGTGTAGCGTGTAGCGTGTAGCGTGTAGTTGTGTGTGACGTGGCGATGTGGTGCAGGCGTGAGCGCGGAGGGCGTGGCGCTGCTGCAGCGCTGGGTGGAGTGCGGCGGCGACGTGCAGTCGGCCGCGCTGCTGGCGGCCCGCTGCGCGCCGCCCGACCTGCTGCGTGTAGCGTGTAGCGTGTAGCGTGTAGTTGTGTGTGACGTGGCGATGTGGTGCAGGCGTGAGCGCGGAGGGCGTGGCGCTGCTGCAGCGCTGGGTGGAGTGCGGCGGCGACGTGCAGTCGGCCGCGCTGCTGGCGGCCCGCTGCGCGCCGCCCGACCTGCTGCGTGTAGCGTGTAGCGTGTAGTTGTGTGTGACGTGGCGATGTGGTGCAGGCGTGAGCGCGGAGGGCGTGGCGCTGCTGCAGCGCTGGGTGGAGTGCGGCGGCGACGTGCAGTCGGCCGCGCTGCTGGCGGCCCGCTGCGCGCCGCCCGACCTGCTGCGTGTAGCGTGTAGCGTGTAGCGTGTAGCGTGTAGTTGTGTGTGACGTGGCGATGTGGTGCAGGCGTGAGCGCGGAGGGCGTGGCGCTGCTGCAGCGCTGGGTGGAGTGCGGCGGCGACGTGCAGTCGGCCGCGCTGCTGGCGGCCCGCTGCGCGCCGCCCGACCTGCTGCGTGTAGCGTGTAGCGTGTAGCGTGTAGCGTGTAGCGTGTAGTTGTGTGTGACGTGGCGATGTGGTGCAGGCGTGAGCGCGGAGGGCGTGGCGCTGCTGCAGCGCTGGGTGGAGTGCGGCGGCGACGTGCAGTCGGCCGCGCTGCTGGCGGCCCGCTGCGCGCCGCCCGACCTGCTGCGTGTAGCGTGTAGCGTGTAGTTGTGTGTGACGTGGCGATGTGGTGCAGGCGTGAGCGCGGAGGGCGTGGCGCTGCTGCAGCGCTGGGTGGAGTGCGGCGGCGACGTGCAGTCGGCCGCGCTGCTGGCGGCCCGCTGCGCGCCGCCCGACCTGCTGCGTGTAGCGTGTAGCGTGTAGCGTGTAGCGTGTAGTTGTGTGTGACGTGGCGATGTGGTGCAGGCGTGAGCGCGGAGGGCGTGGCGCTGCTGCAGCGCTGGGTGGAGTGCGGCGGCGACGTGCAGTCGGCCGCGCTGCTGGCGGCCCGCTGCGCGCCGCCCGACCTGCTGCGTGTAGCGTGTAGCGTGTAGCGTGTAGCGTGTAGCGTGTAGTTGTGTGTGACGTGGCGATGTGGTGCAGGCGTGAGCGCGGAGGGCGTGGCGCTGCTGCAGCGCTGGGTGGAGTGCGGCGGCGACGTGCAGTCGGCCGCGCTGCTGGCGGCCCGCTGCGCGCCGCCCGACCTGCTGCGTGTAGCGTGTAGCGTGTAGCGTGTAGTTGTGTGTGACGTGGCGATGTGGTGCAGGCGTGAGCGCGGAGGGCGTGGCGCTGCTGCAGCGCTGGGTGGAGTGCGGCGGCGACGTGCAGTCGGCCGCGCTGCTGGCGGCCCGCTGCGCGCCGCCCGACCTGCTGCGTGTAGCGTGTAGCGTGTAGTTGTGTGTGACGTGGCGATGTGGTGCAGGCGTGAGCGCGGAGGGCGTGGCGCTGCTGCAGCGCTGGGTGGAGTGCGGCGGCGACGTGCAGTCGGCCGCGCTGCTGGCGGCCCGCTGCGCGCCGCCCGACCTGCTGCGTGTAGCGTGTAGCGTGTAGCGTGTAGCGTGTAGTTGTGTGTGACGTGGCGATGTGGTGCAGGCGTGAGCGCGGAGGGCGTGGCGCTGCTGCAGCGCTGGGTGGAGTGCGGCGGCGACGTGCAGTCGGCCGCGCTGCTGGCGGCCCGCTGCGCGCCGCCCGACCTGCTGCGTGTAGCGTGTAGCGTGTAGCGTGTAGCGTGTAGCGTGTAGTTGTGTGTGACGTGGCGATGTGGTGCAGGCGTGAGCGCGGAGGGCGTGGCGCTGCTGCAGCGCTGGGTGGAGTGCGGCGGCGACGTGCAGTCGGCCGCGCTGCTGGCGGCCCGCTGCGCGCCGCCCGACCTGCTGCGCGACCCGCGCGTGCTCAACTGGCTCGAGAGGTCAGTCTCAACATCACTTCAGCTAATAATCTTCTCACACCGAATCTCGGTCACGGCGACCAGTCTCTACGGAGATTAGCCATCTGCTAACGACTAGATAGTGCACTCTTTATTCCCGAAATCTGATATTTCCTAACACCGGGCTTCTACGGAGCATTTAATGACAAAAAACCTAATAACTGATCTTCAACCCGGAGACCCCATGAAAGGCAATCATGACCATAACTACTTGATCAAAAAGGCAGTCAAAGTTTGCTTCGCCTAAGCTTTACTAGTGATCACTAGGGATTGAAATTTGACCGCAATTAAATTAAACTTTTTAGTTTGTGTATTAAGCAAGCTACATTTCATTTTCCATTCCACGTTAAAACACATTTATATCCATTAATCATACAAAATATAAAATCAACGTTTTTTCCCTTTTATACCATACACATGCTATTAAAAAAGGAGTATTTAAAATTACACAAAATTAAGTAGTAATTATTTATTGGCAACATTTTAAATTATTTGACAACAATCTTTATTCTGTGCAACTATTTGACCACAGACTATTATGTTTGACATTGACAGTATTGAAGGTAAGAAATACTTTATTTAATATAATGTATTTATAATACATAATATACAACGTGTCCCGAAACTCAAACGAGCACGGAGCAAGGAGTCGTACCAGCCCCGGGAAAAATAAAAAATGAAATCCATATCAGTTAGTTCAGTTATAACTGACAAACTTCTTCCAGACCAAATTTAGCTCACGGCGGCTAGTCTCAACGGAGACTAGGTATTTGCGCAGGACAGGATTATAGTGCCCAAGTGTATATGTACTACTCTTTATTATTCGATACGACCGGAGAGAGTAGGCGCAGGATCAAAGGCCTTACGTGTTTTCCGAGGCACGGCGAGGGTGGGTGGGGGGGGGGGGTCACTGCCAACTTCCCAACTTTGGGCTGCTACTGAAAATTTCTTGACAGAAAAACCCAAGCAGTTCCATTTATGACCACTGGACCAACTAGGTCTACAGGTCGTAAACGAACTGGCTCGTTGGTCTTTTAAATGTACTACAAGTAGTTATGTGTAAAGTGGTTGTCGGTGTGGTGCAGCTACCGCACGCTGCTGGACAGCTGGCGGCTGTGGTGGGCGCGCTGCGCGCTGGACACGTGCGTGTGGGCGGGCGCGGGGGCGGGCGGCGAGGAGCCGGCCGCGCGCCGCGTGGGCGTGGCCTGCAGCTACTGCGGCAAGTCCGTGGCCGCGCCCGCCGCCAGCGCGCGCGCCCGCCCCGCCCTCGCGCGCCTGCCGCCGCCCGCCGCCAAGATGAAGGTACGTACACCTGCAGCACGTGCAGCACGTGCAGCACATGCAGCGGGCGCGGCCTGCAGCTACTGCGGCAAGTCCGTGGCCGCGCCCGCCGCCAGCGCGCGCGCCCGCCCCGCCCTCGCGCGCCTGCCGCCGCCCGCCGCCAAGATGAAGGTACGTACACCTGCAGCACGTGCAGCACGTGCAGCACATGCAGCGGGCGCGGCCTGCAGCTACTGCGGCAAGTCCGTGGCCGCGCCCGCCGCCAGCGCGCGCGCCCGCCCCGCCCTCGCGCGCCTGCCGCCGCCCGCCGCCAAGATGAAGGTACGTACACCTGCAGCACGTGCAGCACGTGCAGCACATGCAGCGGGCGCGGCCTGCAGCTACTGCGGCAAGTCCGTGGCCGCGCCCGCCGCCAGCGCGCGCGCCCGCCCCGCCCTCGCGCGCCTGCCGCCGCCCGCCGCCAAGATGAAGGTACGTACACCTGCAGCACGTGCAGCACGTGCAGCACATGCAGCGGGCGCGGCCTGCAGCTACTGCGGCAAGTCCGTGGCCGCGCCCGCCGCCAGCCATAGCTAGCATAGTCCTGTCTGTGATGATGGCCCAGACCCAGTAGAGCCTAGCGCGGTCATTTTCGGGAACGGCTTCCGGCAAGTACTTATAATAATGCAGTTTCCTATCCACGAGACCGTATTTCAGAGCGAGCTCCTGGTGTAGAAAAATCCTGGCTACTAGATTTTTTCTGTGCAAGTACTCAGAGTTAAAAAGAGCCGAACAACCGGAAATGACATACCTAAGTATCTCACCAGGATGGCAACAAACTCGATAGACGTCGACGGCGCCATCCTTTAAGATGTATATCCGATAGTTGTTGGTCTTAATAACCTGATCCTGTATCGCACAGACAAAACCCTCGGTTTCCCCAAAAACTGCAATAGCCACTTGCTATCAAGTTCACTGATACAGAAACTTAGTTAAATTTCTGTATCAGTGAACTTGATAGCAACACAGTTGTACAGTACACAATGTACAGTTGTACATTGGACACTTCAGCTTTTTTTTAAATATGCTACTTGTTTGCGAAGTAAACTTAAAATTCGGCGTCTTTAATTGCAAAAATCGCTTTTTACAGCAAATTTCATCGTGCCCTAACTGCCGTAAGCCATTGCCCCGTTGTGGCGTGTGCTTGCTGCACTTGGGCACTGGCGCCACCGGTGGCGTAGGCGTGGGGGTGGGGGGCTTGAGCTCCGGCGGCAGCGTGGGCGTGGCGGGGGGCGCGGGGGTGGGGGCGGGCGGCGCGCACTTCGGCGGCTGGTTCAGCTGGTGCGTGGCCTGCAGGCACGGGGGCCACGCTGCGCACTTGCTTCAGTGGTTTAGGTAAATCTTAAATTTCTTGCAGATCTTTTTTATTTATAAAATATCAATAAATTATTTATTTATCCTTTAATGCAACACACCTTCAACTAGGAGTTACAGAGGACTGAATGCCCTATGGCATTTTCTACCAGTCAACCCTTAGAACGTAAAAATTAAAAGTAAAACACTTGTCTTAATACTCAAACGTGACTCAATTTTAAGATTTCGTTGAATCTCGTGGTGTCACAGTCACTTTGACTTAAAGTGATAGAGACAGCACGAAATTTAACATTTAAGACAGAAACGCTCATCAATAATGAATTCGCATTTTAAATCGCGTGTACTTTTTGCTACTAGATGCAGAAGTAGCGACATCTGTCGCGAGATGAAGTGAACATGGTAGGTTTGCAATCTATTGCACTCGCAAATAAACTAATCGCATAAAACACTTGATAACTGTCACCAGTGCACTTGATACGAAGTTTACATCTGCAAGGTATTATCTGATAGACTGTTAGACACTTCTTGCAAAAATTTTCTTTCATGTGGAGACTCTATGAGTGTCTTAAGACGCGACAAATGAAAACTGAAACAGGAAATGAACGACAGCATCTTCCTGATAACAAATCAAACTCATTAAAACCAATCCGCCGCGCCGGCCAAGTGTTGTACTTTTGCAAAATCCCTCCTATGAGAAAAGGTATAATAGGTGAGGTCTTTGTTCAACAGTGGACTTTTATAGACCACCATATAAAAGTCTATTGCTGGATGCTCCTATGGATGAAGGGATACTTCAAACAAATGTCTTTGCAGCGAACACTCTGAGTGTCCAGTGAGCTCGTGCTCGTGTCGCTGCAGCTCGCTGGACCCACCGGACCACCTTTAACGACAACTTCCCATCATCGATGTACAAGAGACTGGATAATCATAAGAACTTTCAGAAGTAATCGCTAGCTATAGAATTTTTTAAACGGATGACCTAAGATTCGTATATTTTTAAGATCCTTGTAAAGATTATAAACATGTTGATGAATTTTTTTAAAAAACGTGTTTCGATAACTTTTAATTTTCCATTTGGTAGTTGTTGTAATATATCCTCACCTTTTGACGTCTCTAAGAATGAGACACCAATGTTCTTGAAATGACATCAGTGTATATATTTTACGTTTTCTCTTACATCTAGAGAACAAATTATGAATTATTTTATAGAATCTAAACCATCGACGCGTAAATGCATATTGAATACATAATTAAGTTTTTATTCTCTCGATTCAATATTTTGAATAAAACTAATATTATTTTAATTCCCGAAGACGAGCACGGGGGTAGGGGAGGACTGAGGCGTTTGACGTCCCTATGTCATAGTTAGCCCGGGCTACCTTTAGTTTTTATAACATGCCACCCAAATGGTAACTTAGTATTGAGGGTAAATCGAAAAGCATCTATATTTTTTGTTTAATTTGTACTCAATTTAAAAATAATTTAATTTATAAACAATTTAAAAGTTTTAAACTGATAACGATATTATAACTGTACTGTAAATTTATATTCAATTCTAAGAAATAATATACGACTTTGTATGCCATTTGGCTTGCATAAAGGTTTTGCGACTTTTATAGATTTTTACTAATACATGAATGCAAATAGTTCGTTATGATTCAGTCAGTGTGCATATTAAGATTTTTAAGCAAATTTATTATTAAACAAACTTAGTGATATTGTATCATGATAAGTGTTAAAGTTAAAATGTTTTCTTTTATAAAACAATTCATGCCATTTGGTTTGAATAACGATTTAGTCATTTTTTCATTTTTATTAGGCTATTTCCCTAGTGACTAACGAAATGCATTTACTAGTCGCAAAGAAGGTGCCGTTATAATTTAGAGAAATATGTTATGGAAAGTTTTTTCCTGGTAGAGAAGAGTTGTTCTGCGAACTTTCCGAATTTTTAAGTATAAATCGCGGTGATCTTAACTTAAGTGTAAGTTTTTGGTTAGAAACTTATTAAATCTAGAGAACAAAAGTTTAAACGATCAAAGCACGGATTAAATTTTAATAAATACTGGTGTTAAGCAGGATTTTGGTTGTCACTAACACAGGAACAATTAATTATTGTGGTGGTATATATATTATATATTATATTATAATATATAGTTCTTAGTGAAATATCTTCTTCACAGTGTATTCCACCAAATTAGATTTTTGATTTCTTTGGCCCAGGGTTTATTTCGACAAACATCCCCCCTATGAGGCAATCTGTAGGGTAGCCCTATGTTCAGCAGTGAACTGTAATAGGTCGTAACGGTTTACGTCAACGTTATTTTGCGTTTTTTGAACAGTTCAGACTTAATCTACAACTGTTTTGCATTTTAAATATTCATTCCCATCTGTTAACACAATGCATGGGACTTGTGTTACATTTTTTAACATCAACCTATAACACAAAAGGCCTTGTGTTTGGAGGACTGTGATGGAAGACTTCACTGCTATTCAAACTGAGTTACAGGCTAGTTCTGTTAATAAATGTAAGTAATAATAAGACCGGCGGTACCAACATACACGGTCTCCTATGTAGAAATACAGCCCTAACACCTAGGGAACTGTAGTGTTAGATTTATATTTTTAACATACAAACTTGTTTTAATAAATATTAAGACGAACCCTAAAGTAGGAAATAATTTTGTGCACTTAGGTCATAATCATAATACATGGTTATTTTGCAATGATCAGCCAAATTTAGAGAGAAGATTCAAAATAAGTAATACAGTAAAACTCGCTTAATACGATTACGTTTGATACGATTTCTCGAATAATACGCCATTTTATGTCAATCCCTGCAACTTGAGGCAAGTTTCCATACATTTTTAACTCGCTTAATACGATTTTTCATCCCGTCTAATACGACATCTGTGCAACACCCGAGCCGAGCCGAGTAGCACGTATAATCTTGGTGAGCGTGGCAATTATCACTCTTCATTGATAATTGCCACGCTCACCATAAAGATTTTTGGCTAAAAAACGTCAAGCTTGTTTTCTTACCTCCTAATGCGACAAGCAAAATGCAACCGATGGATCAGGGCAGTATAAAAGTCGTTAAACAAAGCTACAGAACGCGATTGATACATCACTATCGTAAAGAAATGAAAGACCCTGACAGCAAACGACCCTTGACTGTGCATGGTGCGATCCTAAAAATTGCAGCGGCATGGCAAGCAATTAAGCCTGAAACCATACAAAATTGTTTCAAGAAAACAGTTTTCCGAAGTGACAAAGCTGACGTTGTGTTGGAAGAAGAACTCGCGATACTGCAGGGTTTTCCTGGATATTCTTCCATTGATGACAATGTTGCACTGTACGAAACCTTATTCGATATAATCGAAGATCTTATTGAAGATGTGAATAACACCCAAAAAGAGGTCCTTAGTGATGACGATGAAGATGAAGGAGGGTCAATTCCGACTTTGTCAAGCGCAAAGGCATTGTCAGCAGTAAACTTTTTAAGGCCCTATGTATTTATTATGGCAACTTGCTTGTCGGTTCCGGGGAAAGTGAAGACGCACTGTAAAAGTTAAGTTACATTGAAAGCCTTGTCATTACTAATGCATCAAAATCTCTTTGTCAAACCAAAATAAGCGATTACTTTAAGTAATGTCATTATTTAAATAATAATTAACTGTGATCTAACGTATTTAAATACATATACATATTATGTATAATATTATACCTTTCTAAAAAACTTATAAATATACCTATAATTCAATACTTAAACATTGTTAATGATGTTATGTTTTATTTTCCGTATCCCACATAATTCGCTTTCCCGCTTAAGTCGCGATTTTGGCTGGGTCCCTTCAAAATCGTCTTAAGCGAGTTTTACTGTATAGGCAAATAGCGAAGACAACTTATTAAAAAAAAACTCAAACATTCTGTTATTTTTATCTTTTAAATTCAAAATGCGTGGTAATGGATTATATTATCTGATTTTCATTCATAAATGTCTAACGCTTACTATTTTACTACTGACACATTTATTCGTAAGGGTTGATCGGTCGACAATAACGTTGTGAACTGAATGACACAAAGATCGCGCGTACGCGTAGTTGTTGCCCATAAATCACATTTAATTTGGGATAGTTACAAATTTAAGTAGAAGCCTTATATTCACTTATTTTCAAAAACTGCAATAACGGTATATCGTTGAAGTTTAAATTAGGTTAATCTTTTAATAATAACCCTGTGTAATATTGTACAGCATATATAAGATTTTTAGAAAATGTTTTATTTTATGTATACATATAAAACAACCACATATCTTTTAATTTTCCATCCAATATTGCAATAAGCTACAAATTATATCGTAATAACAATAATAAAATATTTTATCATATATTTTGTTTCGCGACGGAAGTCGGTTTACTGATTTTTTAAGCAAGTAACGGTAAATGATATCTCTAATTTCTGAGAGTTTCAGAACAAGAAAAAGTCAGCCGCTTTGCCCCAATGCAGGTTGGCGGACTTCATATAGTCTCAAAATTTTAATCTCCAAGATAATATTTACCATCGAGGAAATGAACACGTATAATTTTCGATTAGAGTCGATGATTTCCGCGGGAATCGAACTCAGGTTGCTCGCACACTATAAAACTAAAGGCTAGTGTTAAGCACTTACTGAGCTACTACGGGCTCGCATTTTATGTTTTGTATAAAATAATCCAACGACTTCTATATATACTTCTAGACGGGCTCTGCGGCCTAAATACGAGAAGGCTAGTTCTTTGTTATGTAAACCGCGAACGTTGTTTTCGGCAATCTAATATCTACTGATTCTGTTTAATGTTACTAAGAAAGCGCTTTCATTATTTATGTGCGCACTTTGTCAACGTGATTTAAAGTTTATTTCAGATAAGTACCGTAAAACGAGGTGAATGGGGACGATTTCAAGGTTTGGGGCAGATTTTTAACATGTTATAATTTTGTTTGTTATTGAATACTACTTAAATATTCCTTCCCGTGGCTGAAACTTTTATTATTTAGAACTTTTGTCTTGTGTAATGTGTTTGATTTATTTTTTTCTTCTTAGTATCTTTCTTTATCTCTTCTTGCTTTAAAAAGGCTGAGCTTGTGATAGTCACTTCGTCTTGATATTGTAAATCTAATGAGTCAGCAAAAACAATAGGCATATCTTCTACTTTAAATGACCCTGAGTCTTTTTCTCTAAGAACGTTTTGGAATATAATATATATATCACTCTCATCCGTATTTGTTACATTGTGGCCAATGATATCTGTTGATGATCCAGCTTCCGGTAATTTCGGCATAAAATTTTCTTTCCCATCTAATCGCTCATCCTTTTGCTGATTTGTTTTGAGACATACCAAATTTAAGGCTTTTGTTGTTGATTGAGTTTGTGTTTTACTCTTTTTTCCTTTTCCTTTATGATCATCATCTAATTTCATAATTTTTGAAGGTATTTCTTCTTCAGGAATCATTTTAACATCATTTCCACTTACAATTTGCCCTGAAACTACCTCTAACTTTTTCTTATATTTTGGTTCCCTAATTTTCATTGTACCGAATCGCATTTCTTTTAAGATTTTCAGGAAACATTCATCAACTACATTTTTATTTGCATGTTTCTTGATTTAGTTGGGATAATCTCGACAAGACTTCATTTGCATTTAATGGAATGATTCCTGCTTTACGGAACTCAGCTTTGATCTTTTTTTTCCGAATTTGGTGTTAATTGGTCCATCAAAAGTTTTAACAGACGCGGGAAACAACCTTTAGGCACTGATGTTAACATTCTGCCGTCAATGTTCTTCCACTTGTCTTGTAGTTGTCGCCAGGCTAATTTCGTCGGCCTAAAAAAGGCTAAGTCTAGCGGTT